TATGTGGGTTGTAGAGAATTGTCTTCTAATGTGCGATGCTATTCACATCACGGACACCTTGCACCAACAGTATATACCATTCTTCTCTCTCTCTCTCTCTCTCTCTCTCTCTCTCTCTCTCTCTCTCTCTCTCTGTGTTCACCCAATGCTGAACTCTTTTCCAGCTATTGAGAACTAACATATGTGGTGGGTGATCGATGTTTCAATGTTGTAAATTTAATTCTTTTGACTTTTCAACTCCAATACATTTAATACAAATTCTGTTACAATTGTTTACTGTGGAGGGTTAGTTCAGCACAAGGGGTGGTCATATGAACATAGCCAAAAACACCATTTACGTCGTAAGCTGTGCCAGGACAACGCTCTCCAATAATTAAAAATGCCAACAACAGTTGTTCCGTGTTTTATGCTGTTTTTTTTTCAGTTATAATAAAACAGTGACTTACTCTAATCCTACTCGCATTTTCTCGTTGAAGCTTTAAGAGATGAGATGTAATTCAGTAGTATTCTTTCTTCCAACTGCACATTAAACAGTATGAAACATTTCCTTATGGTTTTTTAACCGTTTTATTTATGTACCACCTGTTAGTATCATGGCGGAACTACTATAATTCAGGGAACTTAACTTCAAGGCTAAGGAGAGAGATAATGCAAAAAGAGCTAGAGCTAGTATTTAGACAGAGGGAAGAAGTGATGATGCACCACTATTTGGACAGAAAAATCTTCAGATCTATGTGATTTGAAACTTGGCTGAGTGGCAAGGAGCTGGGTTAGGGTAGATAACTAATTGTCAATTAAGTATAACGACTGTGACGAAGAGCAGCCTCTTTGACCGCATTCTGACACGGATTTAGCATTTGTATAAGATAAGATTCTTGGAGTCACGTAGAAGTGAAAGTTCTTTATCATCTTTAATTCCCATCATTTCGAATGGTAAATAGTTGAGAAAACAATAAGCAATGAAACAGATGCTTTGCTCGCTTTATTTCAACACATTTTGCGTGACAGGGGTGCAATTGTACATGTAAGGTTCATTGCCAGATTCTGAACTTCCAGTTTCCAATGGCACAATTTGTTAATACCCTACCAGTGTTGCCCTGTGGTTATAAACTAAACTGCTACTGACTGTGGCGATTTATCCTCAAAACGGTGTCATGTAAGAAGGGCTTCCTTTTGGCATAAGCTTTGAAGAAACGTTGAATTTGCAAACGTATCTTATAATTGGATAGATATACCACTTAGCATTTTCTTACCAGTAATCCACTCGTCGTCAAAAATTGTGCGAAGATGTAAATTTCTTTTATTACAGTAAAGAGTAACCTCCATACCGGACTCTGATATATGTGATGTATACCATCACAGTGAACACGGATGGTAAGGATTCGTGCTTGTTTTGAGATTCTACATCAGAATTGTCATGATTTCCTTACCAGCCAACCAAATCGGGGCCGCACCAATTCTACACGCAGCCAATAATTTTGGAACAGGCGTGTGTTGATAAAATAGTCTTACAGGGTGTTTGTTGCCATGTTCCCGGTAGCACACGTTTTGTTTTTTCCTTTAGAAACTTGATATTTGTCGTTTTCAATGCAATCCAATCGGAACAAGTCGGATACCTTTCATTATTTATAATTTTATATTTACGGATACGGATTGTTCATTTTGGGTCGGGTTTAGATTTTGCAAGCCCTCTCTATAAATCACCAGCCAGGGTGGATAAGTCCCGTTGCTCACCGAGCTTAGAAAGGAGAAAATGGAAAGGGAATTGAATGGTTTCCGGCTGGCCATTATTCTTAGATTACAGGTTTATACTTAGTTTTTCACGATATATTGCACGTTTATTAATCCATTACGACCTGCTAAACGCTTAAAGGAAAAGGTCTGCCAGGTGAATTAAACGACATAACAATAGAAATGGAACAGACTAGAAGTGTTATTGACAGACACTATGTCTTTGCAGTACGATAAGACGCCTAAAAAAGACGATAAGTGCACTGTCTAATGGAATAGAAGGACCTGTAATGACAATACAATTGATATTAAGTCCCAATTGATAGTCCATATACATTGTTCATTGGCGTTGTATTCTTAGACCCACGTCATTGATCTTATGGGGATTAATTCATGTTTGTACATTACATCATGAATACTTTTCTTGTTAATCACGTGTATTCAGTTCAATTTTCTAACCAGGAAGAGTTTATTAAAGAAACGACGCATTTCCAAAACAAATCCCTGATAATCTACTATCGAAGCAGTCCAGTTAATAAAATTTATTTGCAACACAGTAGGTAGCTTTGAACACAGAAACCAGGGGTGAAAGTTGACCCGCACACTACACAGGTTTACCTCTTAGCTTCAATCCCTTCTTTATCTTATTTCGATCAGCAATAAAAAAGGCATTTAGGCATGTTAGTTTTTTTTAGTGGCCAGGAAAATGTGCTTGGGTTTGATTCGTATCTATTGAGCAACTGTTCTTACTTGTCGAGTTCACAGAGCGCAAAGTTAGTCACAAGTGCACTGAAAACCACTTTTTAAATCAAAAATGTTTTTAAGAAAATGGTCATGCTGTTGCGTTCACGCCCCGCTCTTTACTCTCCTGGCATTCATTCTTGACACCCTTCAAAGTCAATTCGCAGTCATCAATGTTACTTGACTTCTGTACGCCATCCCAGACAGCCATCGAGTTATGGTCCAAGAACCTTTAATTACTGTTCTTGAACCAAGGGGCGTGACGTCAGATTATGTTCAACGGTTTTTGAGTGTTAAAAGTGGCCTTTGAAAGGCGCAGACGACACTTTCGCTCTCCTCAAGCAAGACCCGGCAACTGGTACTGGTGGAGATTATCTGATGCTCCCGTCACCCCGCTTGTTAGGTACGATACAGCGCCAAGGCGTACCAGGGCTCTCTTCCGCCACCCATAACTGAACCACTTTGTAAGATAGCGAGAAAATTGATAAAATGTTTAGATGGTTCAGTTAAATATTCATTTTGGCGGCAGATTTGTTGAAATATGCCATGTTGAAAGACAGTGTTTAAACCTACATGTGACAGTGTGGTACAGATCTAGTCAATGATGTTATTTTACATATAAATTATCACAATCACTGCAAGATGAAACATTTGATAAGATGATGCAGATATAGATAAAAAATGATCGCCGAACAACTAATTCCATTCTGATTATTTATATCTTTCTGAATATTGTAAACTTTCGGTGTGGGATATGAAGCCTAGATGACAATGAGAGGCGTCAATAATAAAGCATTATGTTCACTACATGGCATAGTTGATGTGCTTTACCACATCTATTTATTAAAGAGAACCGTTGATGACCATAGGAATCAGTGACGTGGAAAATACGTCCCCGGCCACCAATAAAACATGCCAACAGCTCCAGTAATTACAGACGCTGTGACCCGTGTTTAGTGCCATAAATCATTGGATTTTTTTCACCACATCCACTTTGGTAAGATATGAAGCTACTTACAAGATTCTTCTGTTCATTCACAGCTGCATGTGGTGTAATTAACTTTTAGCTGATAAAGCGGAAAGCCGTCTGCAACTTTTCTTACAAACAGCGTGTGTAGAAAAGGATTTGTTTATCTCAAAACGTTCAGCCTGTTCTTTTTATCCATTCTGATACAGTTAGGTTAAATTTTGGGGCGTTCTTTTGATTTTTATTGGTTTGCAAAAAATAAAAAAAAACTCTTACTTCCACAACCTATAAATCAGCTATAAAATGATCTCAATAACGGGTTACCCTAGAACAAACTTCAACAGGGTTCCCTAACTGGCATGGGGGCTTAGACTTCTAACCTTTACCCTAGAATTATGACAATTTTCTACTCTGTTAATCGGAATTTTTAGGAGAAGGGCATCATCAGGAGGATCTACGGTCAGTGGAAGAGCTCGAAATGCTTAATGTCCAGCGGTTAAAGAAAGGTCAGAACGCTACGCTCTCTGACTACTGGCCGTTAAAGTGGACGTTTAACGGACTGTAGTTGATTGTTAAGCCTTGGTGCTTCATTGTATCTAGTATGGAGTGTGTCTCATGAACAGCAGCGGCCCAGATGTGTTTTGTGTAAAAACGTGTGTGCCTTTCTCAGCTTGAGGTAGTGCGCTTTTTGTAGCTGCAGTGGCAGAACACCCTGTAAATACATTTCCGTATTACTACTGCTTAGTTAGGCAAACCGTGATTCCCTATTTCGCTTGACACCATTTATTATTTCATTGAACATAAAGAAAGTTTGACGAATGGTGCACAAGTTTGAAAAAGTCCCCCACCGATTAGAAAAAAATCTATTTTTGCCAATATTCTCTCTGGGCTAACCACATGGAATTTTGCTACGGATATACGTTACCAATGTAAGAGGTAATGCAATGCAATAGAACTGGCAGACAGCCACTTGTACATCGGGAACAGTATCCAACTTTCTTTACCTGAACACATGTTTTATTGTAGTATTGTTTTCGAGAAACGCGGTTGGGCATTTTACATTTCTTGTTGAGTGCGTAGCATCAAAGTTAACCGGATTACACTACGTTTACAGATCAACCGGCAGAAAGTAGTTATAACAACGCCGTCGTCAGTATGCGTTCCACTAAGACACATGCTCTTAGCAAAACAAGTTGTAATCTTAAGTAATCGACGTTTTCTTGCTTCATTTAAACGTTACTAAAAGTTCAGGTCTGCAAACCCTAAAACCATCTGTTTGCCAGTATGTGGTTTCTATACCGCGTTCATACCCGTCAGATGTCGCCACTGACGCATACGTACAACACGCTGCCTCCGCTACCGTTAATCAGAAAATCACTTTTTTCCGCAATCTGGAACAATTTGCTTTCGTCATACTACTGGAAGATCATATTTCACTTAAAGGCCATAAAACCAAACCCCTTAGTAATATCACAAATATTGACCCCGATTTGCATGTGTCACTCTCTCGGACTGCTATATAAACCAGCACACTTTCACACATTTTGTGTTTTCATTACAGCTCCAAGCTACGCGATACTCGAGGACGTCGACTGAACTCTCTAACTTCAAGAAGTTATCACTCTCTACAGACAAGAAGTGCAATTTAGCAACACAGAGTCAAAGGAAAATGGATTGTATACGTGACCAGAGCAACAGTTCTATACTACGATTGACAGTGACATTACTGTTATGTGTTGTTACTTTAGAAGCCAGAACGTACCACAATAGACACTGGGAGAATAAATTGATAAAGAAAGGCTACGGTAAGCTATTTCATTTGATTTTTCTATCTATATATCTTTATATATATATTTAAAGAAAAAAGTAATCTACCTACAAGTGTTGTTTAGAAGTAGCGGTTGGTAGTGTAATGTGAAGTTGCGTCTGTGAGGATTTATAAGCGTTTATGTCTTTAACCGTGGGGTCGGGGTCAGCTTAATGTATACAAGGTTTTTATCTGTATATACAAGACGTGGAAATGATGGTGTTTACTGGAATATATGACAGGAGAAAGTACTCTGGCTGAGATTCCCAAAATTTTTCTGCTATTTTTGTTTCGCGTTTGTTTCAAAATCGTGCTTCGGCGTGTATACTTGGCACCCGCTGTTGATTGAAGTCGACAAGTTGTTTGAAGCAAAGAACGTGGAACACGCCATAAAGCAAGGCATAAACGACTTACATGTGGACCGTTGTTGATGTCAGTGCTACCGTGCCCCCGAATTCCCACTTGTTTTCTCCAGTTTTACGCACATTTTTTTTACTTGAAATATTATAGCTTTTGGTAGAGTCCGGATTGCATATAAGACTGAGCGAAACGTAAAGATTGTTTGTAGTACACAAGGTAGACAATAAACACTAACGTATTTATTTCTGATAAAGAAATTATCATTGCCTTTAATTAATGTAGGTATACGCTATATCAGTAAAACATCGAATCGAAGTTTATTTTTGTCAAATAGGAGAGAGAGAGAGAGAGAGAGAGAGAGAGGGGAGGGGGATAATGGTTGTGATGATGCGGGACAATTAACTCACAGCGGACACTTATTATCCCGGGTTGATTAGCAGGATTCAGTGGAAAAAAACACGGACAGTTTAATGATCCGGAATAATGACATCAATCGATACGACTTCTCCTTGTTATGTCGGAACTAAGAAAATGACTTGTTTGTACTTAGGGAGCATAGGCTTTAAGCGTCTGTTCCCTCGCCTTGGAGTCGATGTTAAAGCAGATTGTTACACCAATAAAAACGCATTTGCCTCGCGTGGCAGGGTAATGTTGGCACGCAGCAGAACAAATCAAAGCAGGCCTTGGAAGGCAATGTGGTTCTGATAAGGCAGGCCCTTTGTCTTCGAATCAAGATATTACGTCTAACACCTGAGAACGAAATGGTAATCATTAACTTCACTATTGTTCCCCCTGATGGACCCTGGATTGCCCCTCTGCGCCACTTTTGGTGGTTCTGGTTCGTTCCAGCTGTCTGAGCTTTACCTCTGTTTGGGCCAAGTTGACGGAATGATGCCATTAGTCACTATTTCATTTTTTGAAAAGTCTCTTTTCGCTTCCCACAAACCGCAGCTTGCTGGTTGAGTCAATTGCTCGGTATTTGTCAACCGCTGATATGATATGATAACACGCAGAGTAAATGGAGACATTTTACCACAAGATTGATTCGTTACGTTAATGGCGTAACGCGTGGATGGATGGCATTAGATTTATGAGCTGGTTGTTTGTTACTTCAGAAAATATAAGTGACATAAGTCATTAAGATTGACTGTTTTCTTAGGGATTTATATAATCTTACAAAAAGCAGGCATTTTGGCATCTCACGAACTTAGACTTTTCACTTTCTTACAAAATATGAACATCTCGTCATCTGATAAAGAAGTAGGTGTTTTAATATATTAAGAGCGTAATCATGTCGGCAAAAAAATGAGCATAGCGTTATCTGAAAAAATGACAGTATATTGACAGAAACAATCGTCCTCTATGTATCCATTTTACGCGAAAGAAAATGAAATAGTCTGTCCGAACACCAAGTGCCGTCATGTCACTTGTGTTAATTGAAAGAGACGTTTAGGAAGGGCGAAAGACGCGAGTCTGTTTTGTTTTCCTTATGTTTTAATGTTAAAAGCTTTTTGTGTGGTTTGGGTATGTCTCATTGTTTTTAAAATAGGTGGAAGAAGACGCATTTTGCCTTCTGCTAAATCATTAATTTCTAATTCTTGAAATATGCCAACATCACTGTATGACTATTATCTGATGTCATCTTGTTGAAAGAGCGAGTTGATGGATGTCGTATTGCATAAACAGATGTAACAGATCAGGAAGTGAATAAAAACATACATTTTGACATCATTCCGTGGATGATCTGGGATGATTTCATGAGAAGGGCAGATACATTGGTGATTGACAGAAGGCTCGTGGAACTGAGACATCCACCCAGCTTAATGGTTTGTGGTCGGTAATGCGGGAATTGTCGAATCTGTAAAACAATCTCCGTCTCCACCACGCCTTTTCTTTGAACTGAAATCGCATTTAAAAGCATATAATTCGAAAACAGCATTGAATTTTAGAAAGAAATATCGCTGCTGCGAGTACAAAGGCTAAATATTATATCGTGTTTTGATCCTTACTGCGTTCTTGTCTTTGGGTGTAGTCTAGATTACCAAGCGCCAGCCATTCCAGACTTAAAATCCTCTCATAGCCGGCCACTTGCTAATTTGCCCCCTTCGCCACAGAAGGCTTCAGTCAGCTCGTCTCTGGCAGTCTGCCATGAAGCACCTTCCTCGCCCAGACGTGTCTATCCTGTAGTTAACGACCGATGCAATGGATGAGTGAGAGGTGAGAGATCCCGCGTACGTGCAGCAGACAGGTATTTTTGAAATCGTCAGACAGGAACTTCCTACTTCCGGTTCATGCATGGGTGCCTCATTCCGCGTTCTTGGATCTCTCTCTCTTTAAATTTATTTTCGTTTTAATGCCTGTCCCAAATTTTATGATTGGTCTGAAAGTGAAATACTGTCATGTTACTTTATTCCCTCCTTACTTGTGTTCTAACGTTTAGAAAAAACATAAAACAGGTGACAGATTCCTATGATATTGTAAAATAATGCACCAACCGAACCCATGTGTTCTCCCTTTCCGTGAATATAAACTGAACTAACGAACGTAATCTAAAAACCAAAGAGGGAAGTATCTCATTGCTGGGATACTGCAACCCACCCCCAATTCTGTAGAGTGCAACACGTGTAGTTGGCTCCGTGTAGCTGGCAACAAGGTTCGTCCAATTTAAAACCAGGCACCAATCTCTATTCTGCAGGAACCTTCAAAAACAATGGAACCCGGCACCTTGAGTACTTTAATTGGAAACAACTCTTTTGAGATGTTGTTGTACAGATACCTGTAGTTGAAAAAGGCAAGGTACTAATCTTGGACAACAAGTTTTGTAGGGAGTCAATTGCCATACACTTTTAAGTGGGTAATCTATTTAGTTCATCAGCCCCATGGTCTTGGCCATGTTAAATCTTTGGACGACGTATCCCAAAAGGGGGTATTTAGAATAGAACTTGAATGAGAACTACTCAGCGCCTGTTCTTTGCGTTTTACATCATTTGTCGACATGTCCCTTCGCTTTGAATCATTGTTTGAAATATAAAACGGAGAAGCAGAATCAAAATAAATTTTGGATAAATAAAATTACGTTCTCAGCACTTTCGTATGCGGTAGCTGTATGATCTGGCGAGTAATTTGTTTGAAAAAATGACTACTCAGCACGGCTACCCCGCCCCCACGCCACTCCTGAGCGTTAAAGGCCAAATGTATTTGTCTTCGTTTGTGTTTGAGTTGTATGACAGGGCAAAAATTAAAGCCATTATGCTCCCTTGCAAGAAGCTGTCACGAAAGGCGGCCTGTCTTAGTTAAAACCCAGTCCATACTTCACTATTCTACCACAGGATAGCTGTGCATGCTAATACCAGATTATGTCAACTATAGCTAAATGCGTTTTATGACACTCAATTGCTCCTTTAAAGGAGTTATTGGTTTTCAGACCCACTTAATATGGCTTCTATTGGCTTCCGCCGTTTAATGAGGCAACTGCGTGTTGGTGCATTCTGTTTTTTATACGTAATTGTTACATTTAATATCTCATGACTCGCTTCAACTGACTTATTGAACTAGTACGTGCATATCTTCTTTCCTTCTTGTTTCTTTTTTAATAGATATATACCACGTATTTTCGTCTGTTTTTATTTATTTCTCTATTTATTTTCTTAGGTACAGATAACTGGGTGACCAAAAATCATATCGGAAAGCTGCCTTACGGGAAGACGAAGGTAAGACTTCATTTGGAAATGGTTTTACATATTGAAAGCATGGTTTGATGCTCAGAGGGTGCAACGGCAGATTACGACCAAAGTCGTCGTCTTTCCCTGAATGTATTGATTCTGGAATAGGAGCGTGAAGCACATGGGCATATTGCTTTTCACGAAGCCCCTGGAAAACCTTTTCAATTATTACATGGCGTCGCCCTGCCTCTTAGTTCTTCTTTCAAGGTACTGTATGCTCCACTTAATAAACTGGTTCTCGGTACAAACGTATTATACTCGCGGAGATAGAAACAGCTTGTGAGGCGTAAAAGATATGCTAAGTTTCTTTACCCAAACAAAAAGTCTAGGGAGCCTTCTTTGTCAAAATGTCATCGGATTTAAGTTAATGAATCGTTACTGCCGTCTCATTCTGAAAGCTGAAATGGATTCGGTAGGATGACGGTTCGAACGTCGGTGGCTTGATGAGTTAATTTCACTTTGTGTGCATTTACAGAAGGTCAACCGTCATCTCAACTTTATTTAAGCATGCGTAACCAGCATTCTGGTTTGTGTATACAATTAAATTTGAAATTTGTTAGGATGTTTACGCCATTAAGGGCAGAGTTGCTGCATGTGATGCCATCTGCATGCGAGTTAAGAGTTTGGTAAAGAGCCAATTTGACATGGCGCTCGCATCATCAGGTGTCTCTTGCAGAATATTGCCTTTAACGCAGTTAAGTGGTCAGTGGCATCTTGGATTGGTGCGTCATGTGAGACACAGATTCCCAGGCACTGTGCGTGAATCCAATGAATCGGCACGTGAATCACCGATACATTCACGTAGCAAAACCGAGCTCTCCCACCCATGCTGGGCCAGTTCTCACACTAACACAGTCCTGGGAAGAAATTACTGAAACAATGGTTTCATTTCCCAAACAATAGGGCGTGTAAGTAGTGTTGCCCTCCAATAAAAAAGATCAGCTGGGAATGCCCAGGGCTTTGGTCTACCGCTGTGTACTGAACGTGGTGCATTCGGACCAATCATCAAACACAAAACATAACAACTGGAAAATATTAACCGAGTCCTAGTTCTCACGTTTTTTACTCATATTTAATGAATGTGTTTTTCAGAGGATATTCGGTGTGTATCAAAACACTTCCTGTTTGTAGCGGAACATTTCCTTTGCATGCACAGGCTAAAGGTTGATTATTTGCACGATAGAACCAGTAGAGAATCGCGATAAAAATACGTCCATAACATTTTTACCCTAAGATCGGGCTACTTATCTCGAATGAGAGATAAGCCGATAAAAATGGGGTTTTAACTTTCCAGGTTTACATCTTAGCCGTCTTAAGTAAGCACTGTTTTTGTATTTGATTCTTTGGAACAATCTAGCCCCAGGGCAAGCACCGATGTGGCGCACTTTAAAACAAAAGCCAAAGGTCTCACTTATAAAAAGAAATCTAAACAAAGCCTGCGATTAAGTTCAAGGGTGCAAGCCAAAACCTAAACCGTAATGCACACATTCTTTGCTACAAAGCTCAGTAAGAAGTCTACAAAGTGAATCTACTTTAAACAAATAAAAACTGCACTTTTCATCGGCAGCTATCAGATAGTCTCTAGGACTGTGCATGTATGTTTCAGTAATTAAACAGTTAAAGAACTTTATTTTTGTTGAATGTCGTTACATTGTTAAGCAAACAAAGTCTGTTGTGATAAACCAAGGGAACCCCGAGATTTATCACGGAAAAATCCCCCCTAACACGTAACTCGATAGCTCGCCGTGCTTGGAACTAGCGCACACACGGTAAACTTTTTTCTGGGCAATTTCATGGCTTTCAATTCCAAATTACCGCTTAGATGCCCTTTGTTAAATCAAGGTTTTATTGTGAAGAAGTGATTAATATACTCTAAGAGACGTGTTTGACACAATAGATCATAGACCAACCCGTCTGGGTTGGACCGTTTTTAAACCCCTAGTATGTGAGTAATGTCTTATTTCCAATTTTTGACATTTCTCAAGAAGTTAATTGTCCGCAACAGTACTTTTAATTGGCTCTATATTTCATCCGCCCTATTTTGGTATTGTTATTTTCCAGATTGTGTGTATTATATTTTGCCAACAATATCTTTAAGTTACCCAAGCTGACAGTAAACAATGGGCTTAATTAACTCGAGGTTGAAACTTTGTGATCACTTTTTTGGCAATATTTCCCTCCATTGTTGACACACGAGCAGCTCCACTTACGAAAAACCAGCCATGCTTGCATTAGCAGCAACAAAAATAAAATCCACAAAGCAGGAAGCATTCTGAATCACGTTTCAAAATATTCCTTTATCAAATGTCTAATTAATCATTCAGACATACACTTTATACATGTGCATGTATTGTTTATACTGTATAAATATAAATGATAAAACGTCACTGAGATCAAAATGATATAATGTCACATCTTGTCATCTCTCTACACTTAAATAAACAAAACATTACAAACATTATACATTTATTATTGTTATCATTACTTGATATAATAAAAATAATTATAAGTATTATTTAATGTAATGCATTGTTTATAGTGTACATATATTATACAAAATATTGTTAACAGTGTTCAGACTTAAGAACGGGTATCACTTTATCATTCATATTCACTTTCAGGGTTGTGAGAAGCGTTTCTCTGTTGTCAGTCCCAAACATACCATGTGCCTGAATGTGCACGTCAAAAGGAAAGATGGTACGTATTGTTTTTAGGTACACCTAACGTTTAGAAACACTGTGAGATTATCAGTTAATCCGTTTGTCTTTTGTAGATAAATACGAAAGTAACCTTTGTAGCAAATTCCTTAAATGTCCTCACGTTGCTGAGAGATAAGTTGTTTTGAGCGACACCAACGCAAAACGCCACGGGGCGCAAAGGATGGTTACACTGCTTTTTCAAAAAACATACGGGAAAGTTTTCTACTATGCATTTCTCGAATTTGGATCTCACTGGTATCGGAGAGAAAAAAAACTGTGGTAATTGGCATTTTTGCAGAACAAAAACTAAATTGAAGACACGTCTTCCCTCCTATCTTTACCTTTACTACCTAAATATTTGTGGTTCTTCTGGCAACAGGTGGCAACTCTGAAAGCATTGTTGGGAAGTTAGTTTAGATTTCTGTTAAAGGTAGATTTTCTTCGTGAAGTACGCGTACAGTGAATGAGTCATCATGTTAAAACACATATGGCTTTTTAGCGGCCTAATTACGGCTGGTTTTGCACTGAATATCATGTTGGTGTCGAGCAGTAAACGTTGCTATTGGAATTGCTACTACCAGGCCGAGATAAAAACTGCACTGCCAATGGAACTTTATGTCAAATTGAGATAAATAAATTCTGTTAATAGATTCAATTAAGTCGAAGTACTATGATGAACAAAAATCATTTATTTACCGTTTCTCATACTCTGTAAGTGAATGGGACAGGAAATGTAATGGCATAAACTAAGTATATTACATGTATTACATCCGTGTTTATTGACGTCAGATTTAATCTAGGAACAGGCCAAATTTCACTGGCATGTGCGTCAATCTTTTTTACGACTTTTACAAGGTGGACTTTTATGACCTTTGCTTTGTTTTGTGTGCATTGAGCAAAGATCAGACATCAATGCAATAAACTAACTTTAACAATAGCCAGTACAAATAATGTGTCATTAATGCAGTTTCTGAATGGGAAATATTAAAATCGTATTGCTATTTTCTTCTTCAGGGATAACCGAAACGGAGAAAAATCTTATACTCGAAAGACACAATTATTATCGGGCCAATGTGGAAAAATTTAACAACCAGCCCCCAGCTACGGATATGAATAAGTTGGTAAGTCTCTCCACAATTCTCGGAAAGAACATGTATCACTTCATTCTTGGAACTGTAATTGTTCTGTGGTTAATGTTTATGGTACCTAGTAATAGACTACCTAAGGGTAACATACCCCGTATTTTGCTTGTTGCCAAAATAGTTCCTTTGAAAGTGTGGACAAGATTTCACGTACCGTAAAACAAGGGAAGAAATGGCATGATATAGAATGGAAATTTAACGCAATTCTCTGAATTAGAGATATGATGTTACGAGTTACTGCCACAATTACAACAAAAGTGCTACCACGAAGAATTTGTGGTTAGATATTTGTAACTATGCACCACCTCCCTCTCGACCAGTGCAGATGCTTTTTCTTCTAAGTACTCAAATATCTCACTTTACGATCAGTTCTGCAAAAGTACGTGAGCACATACATTTAATAAGGCGATGGGCGTGATTGGAGGGAGCGTTTGGTGGGTTGAAAAAGAACCATTTTATTGTTCAAAAGACAGATCGAGCGTAAAAACGCTAATTGGACTGGAAAATAATCCGTGCACATCGTCTAGTGAGTCAGAACGGCAACCAAAATCAGGGCACCAGCCCTCATTTAATTAGGTTCAACCGTGCGCGTGTAAAGGCTAAACACGAGGTTCAGCGAAACACAGTGATTTTAATTTCGAACGCTGTGAATCCGGGGTACCAATTCCGAACTCGTCATCAATATCACATTGCGCTATACATAACCGATAACTGTGTAAGTTACCGTTGCCTAATTATAATGCAGATTGAAACATTTACGCGGATTTGTAACATCTGTGAAAGCAACATATAATAGGATATCAACAGATGACGTATTTGGTGTAAATAAACGTGGGTATTTTGCTAATAGAATCTTATCACGCGACATAAGAGTTAAATATACAAGCCCTGCACCTTTTAAACAAAATAAACATGGGCACACGTTCGTCATTAAAAGTGGCCAATCTTTGGGTTACTCTTAGCCGGGCACTGCTATGACTCAGAACCCACGTTAAACCGATAATGGCAACAGGTTCTCTTGCCAAAAATACTTCAAAACTTTCAAGAAAATGAGGTGATTAAAAGCTTCATTTGTAAACATGCCGACCAACTCTGCACGTAGTGTTTGGTATTTAATTGGAACTGGTGGACGTGCAGAGGGTGGGGGCTGACCTCTGGCTTGACCTTGGTCGTGTTTGATGGAGTGTCCAACAGGGTGATTGGCAGTACATGTAGCATTAAATATTCAATAATGTACATCAGGATACACGGGCTTAACAATGGCAAAACCAAGGAATTCCGTATATGGCAGTTGAAAGTCGTGGCCATTGTGTTATTTTCGCTCTCAGCCATTAAGAGGATGTATTCATTGAGCCATTTCGTCACTTGTGCCATTTGGTGTTCCGTCTGTTTTCCTAATCACCTCGCACTAGCCTCCGGAAGCCAATAAAAATTCACATGCTGACTAGTATAGAAAGACACATAAAGTAAATCGATATACCCCCTCCCTTCTTACCACAACTGGCGTTTTAGGTTAGTGACCCTCACGTTTTTTCAACGAAATACAATATAAACTACACGTGCGCGCGTGTCTTCGCATGTCAAGGCAGAGTAAAGCCTGGACTTCACGGACCGGAAGTAAGTCGCGCAGAAAATAACTGAAATACCTAAAATATCTTGGAGGTTTGGTTCTGTGTTTATATGCCCTCAGGGGAGGTAGATCTGGACCCATTTGTCATTTTGGTAATAGTGATCACGTCAGCCATTGAAGGAAAATAAAATTGAACAAAAAATACCGTGGTAATTGGTAGCGTTCATGGGTGTTAAATACGTGAAACTTAAATAAAATGAAATGACAGGGGGTGAATTATCGCCTTTCTGTCATTGAAGTCAAGCACTGCATTTAATCGTTCCTTGTTGCTCCATTTTAAACACCAAGTTGAATGCCCGTTTTATTCCATAATCTCGCAAGCCAAATGTCAATAAAGTTTAATGTCAAAGATCGTAGTGTCTGCACTAGATACCCCCGTGATCTCCTTTTAAACTACTTTTAGTGAGCGAAAAGTAGAAATAAATCTTTTTTCTTGACATATCTAGTTCATTATCTAATAGTAGTAATGATACCAACGTTATGTTACATGTAAGGGTCGACCAACTTGACATATCTAGCTCATTATCTAATGATAGTAAGATACCAACATTATGTTACAGGTATGGGACGACCAACTTTCTGAACTTGCACAGAAGTGGGCCAGTAATTGTCATTATGATCACGAAGAAAGCGAGAATAGAAACATTCCAGGTACGTACATTTGAGGAAAATACATGTACAAAACAGCTGCTCTAAATTCTTGTGCCTGTACGATCACCCACGCTTTGTGCTTGGAATATTTAATACGCAGTCCAACTGGTACGATGGTTAAACATATGTATGCTGATAAAAGTTTTATATCCTGGCTATATTCAAGTGCGCATTGGGAATCCACCTTGTATTAATAACGCAGGGAATCAATAATATAATCTGTACTGCCCACCTTTGGGAATGTCATATTTCCTATGTCTAAATATCCTACAAACTTACTTATCTTTCTCAATTCAGACCTTAAAAACTCTTATATATATATAAAAAAATACCCAATGCCGCTATTTCCTTCTGATCTGAAAGGCAGTCTATAAATGACTAACCAGGCAATTAGGGCTAAATTAGAAATGGTACAAAACATAGAATCAAAATGCAGAGATGGGCCGAACAATGATTCTTGAGTTGGAGAAAATTGGATTTTTTTTTCGAGGAATATTCGATTTGGCGGGAAAATCCCGGATAGGATTCCTTAAACCTGAACTAGAACGATTTAATGTTTATTGTCGATATTCAGAATTGAATTGTTTTCCACGCTGGGGGGCATGCACGGACCTCCAAGCATGTAATAAATCCCCGGTAGCTGAAAACTGTAAACATGAAACAGAACAGTGGGTAATTTACGATTATATCTTCCAAATTTTGTTACGTCGGTGTCCATAACATTGAACAAACGCTGTAACTATTTATGTGTGTGTGTTTTGGAAGAAATGTCAACCCCCTAACTGTGTTATCTGCAGGTTTTGTTAAGTCAGCGTTTGTTTCCTTAAGCAAAATTTACTCAAGTGACCGTATACATGTAGGTGCCAGTATTCTGAAGTAATTAACAATCAACAATCTTGTAAGGATTCATCTTTACAGATCGCTGAATAAGTTGGCGTTTTTGTTTAGTGGTGTCTGTTTCCGTCCCACGCGAATAATGTTAGTGACCGAAGGTGCGACAGATCTATAGTAATCAGCTATATGTAATTTGGAAAATAATTCCAACTGCCACATTGCATTATCTAACAATTTTGTACGCCAGTCGTCCTGTTTTATCACTAAAGCATTTAACAGTGGCCGTAAGTGGTTGTAGTTATATTACAGCACGGAACAAAGTTTTTCACCCCTGCGTTGTTTTCCCAGGCATTTGAGATAAATCGGATTTTATTTACAAAAACATTGGAGTTATCGAAATGACCAAACGCTAAGCTGGAGGTGTCCCTATCTTTTTGTGTGATTCTGAAAATAGACTGTTCTTTGGAATGCGGACGGGATTGCAACCCCCACATTGTATTATGTATCCTTTTGTCAGAACCACCTCGTTTTGTTTTCCGAGCAGATTTCTAATCAAACCAGCCGTATCAGCTCCAGGGAGATGAGCCAATTTGTTGGGCTTCTGTTTAGGCTTCATTTGTGAGATAAAAGGGCGAAGTCATAATTGACATTCTCTCGGCTAACATGTTTTAAATGACGGGGGGATCTTTGATGTCCCGCGCTGTATATAATTAGTTTTGTCAATTTAAACAGAGCCTCACCAAAACACCGGAAAACGATGCCAAAACTTACAGGTAAGTTGAAGGTTTGGGAGTGGAAACATTGGCACTAAAGGGTTTTCAGTGCTTTTTGAGGGTATCCAGGTCAACGGATATGGAACATGCCTCTTAAAGGAATTCTGTATCAACAAGTACATATCTTTAATATATAATGCATTAGATAATAAAAGTTTGATAACTCATTGCAGGCTGGGCCAGCGTGGGTCAGAATTTAGGGCGTGGCCAGAGAAACTGGCATCAGGTGATGAAGATGTGGCACGACGAGGTGAACTATTTCAAGTACGGACGCGGGTCGATTAATGGTTACGAGACGGGCCATTATACACAGGTAATATCAACAAGATGGTATGATACATACATTAGTCTGGATCTGCAGCGTGGTCTGATTGCTTTAAGAGTTCACAATATTCTAAGCAGTGAAATGCGATTTTTAGAGTCTAAAGGGGTTATATACAATATGTGGGTATTTTAGGTCTATATAAGTTATCTTCTATTTCCTAGTTTTTGTGGCAGTGAAAGATCTGGCATACTATTGTCAAAAGCAGCTAACATTTATGTGATGTGAAGGCAACTCGTGTTTAAGATATCCGGTTTTCAGTGAATTGTACGCTTAGGCGCTACCAAGATGTACGAAGCAACTCGAAAAATCACCAACAACACCCAATAAAACAAAACCAAGCCTGTGACATAAATAAAGATATGATTTCGCCTATTTGTTAGAACTGACCGTACTATTATTTGTGGTCAAGCTTTATGTGCGATATATTACAAGGCCGATTTCTAACATTATTTCAGATGGTGTGGGCAGCTTCCACGAGGATAGGGTGTGGGTTTGCCCAGTGCAATGGCACCAAGACATTTTATGTTTGCAACTATGCACCATCGTAAGTATACTTTTTATTTATTAGAAAGAGTAAAAAGGGAGAAAGAACAAATGTGGGTGAATTTTGTGCGTTTTTGAAATATAAAACGCGATGATTTATGTTTGGTTTTAAAGAATCATATACAATTGGTACCATTGTAAGAGCAAAAAGGTCAGGAAAAAATACACAAAATGAAATAATTTTATATGTAGAATGTCCTCTTATCCTCTCTATTTTATATCATTCAGCGGTAACCTCAGGCACAAGGTGAAGACCCCATACAAAGCAGGACCAACTGGATCTTCCTGCAAGAAGAACTTCGATTCAAGATCTGGTTTATGCGGTTAGTATTTGCCGTTTCGTTATCGGTGTGTGAGAGCGCAAGCGCAAGCGGGTTTATGTGTTTTAACACGCTAGTACTTCTCTAGACGTGCTCCTTAGCATGAACAGTAACATAATTTTGTTATTAAACATGACGCACTTAGATTAGATATCTCTCTCAATATTTATAACATAAACAATACCAAATGCCATGTTTTTCTCAGCCTAATATGTGACCTCACCACTGTGTTTCAGACTGCGGTGGCAAGGTGTGTAAGAACGGGGGAGAGTTGGACGTGAGCACGTGCCAGTGCAAGTGCAAAGATACATGGTGGATTGAGAAGGGAGGCGAATGCGACCGTGAGTGCTCAATTTCATCGATTGATTCATTCATTCTGATTATTTGTGGCTTATTTGATCTAATTGTTCTTTCAAAGAAATATTTACATGGCGGTGGTTCAACAACAACAACAACAACAACAACAACAACAACAAAAAGATTGATTAAATAGTGGTTTAGATTGATTAAATAGTGGCGCTATGCGCACGTCTCCAAGACAAGCGCAACCCAACGTCAAGACACCTCGTCCGGTCCCCATAAGCTTTTCACTGTGTCGTAAAAAGATGAGGCATTCGTCTTGATAAAAATAAATATATAATTAAGCACAGTAAAGCACATATTATACCATGTCATACATAGGATGCAGAGCTTGGCGTGTCAGTTCAGATTGTAACAAACTTGCCGCACATAGGAAAGGTAAAATGCTCAATAGCTCTAAATCTGCACGGTCACTTAGACCGTGACAGTTGAAGTTTTCCACACCAATTGTCATTATCAAGGTTATTTGTTTGTATCACATTCCACGACGCCGCACATGTAATCAGATTATGAACATATGAACAAAGGCCAAACCAAGTCCACAACGTTCCATAGCGCACATGTTTATGTAAACTTACTAGTGCATGGTTCGTCTTTGAACGGCACATTTTCTAAACAAACAATTCCTCACAACAAAACAATAACTCACACTTAATGCTAACAGTCATTTCTTTTGCTAGTAAACTCCGTTTCTGTTATAAGAATTCATTGTTATTTCAACAAAAGTTTCAATGGTTTTTATTCAAGTTCAATTTCGCATTGACAGAGGTTGCTAGCAGGCCAACGCTGTGTTTGCTAGCAGAGATATAAATCAACGGTACTTGATCCTTATTATCCTCAACGTGCCACGACCGTTTTACAAAATTCCTTTTTAAAAAAGCTCCCATTTTTGAAATCAAACAATTATATTTGTGTTTTGCTGAATATGGTTGCGCGCCGTCTGAAACGCTCCTCCCATCTCCTTATACTGTGCTGCCCCTTTATAAACGGTCCTTTGTCCAGGTATCAATAGAAACAATAATATATAGAGAAGGTCCTAATAGTTAGGTACACGGGGTATAACTTCGAGGGTCTCTATGACCACAAGTCTTATGTAGTGTACCGTGTCGTTTGGGGCCAGTCTGTCACCAATGGGACTCGCTTCAGGAGGTGGTTTATGGGGACCTTGGACGCGCTTGGACAGCGGATTGTCGTTAACAGTGGACGATAAGAGTCCCCGCTCATACAGAGCTCTGATAAATCCAGAAGAAGGCAGCACAAAAGTGAGATGAATGTTTGATGAGCTTTCTCTAGACTAGTGGTCAAGTGAACTTTTCTATGAACTGACGTAATATGACGGTATTGTTTACGCAAGATCAACTAGCCGAAGAGGAGTTAATTTTCCATCTTTTTCGAGGTTATTGAAGGAGAAAATAGTCTCCTGTATACGAGATATCGACGCAGATCGTATTAAACAAAGGTGTGTCGAGACTCCATGGAGAAGGCATGATCAGTTGAATGGAAAGCAAACTTGGCTGAGCTCTGAACTTTACAACATATGCATCCGTGTTCAATGCAAAGAGAGACTAACTGGAAACGGTAAATACCAACATTTTACATCGTCAAATCAGGCGATAATAACACACGCTATGAATAACTGAAGATGGGCATTTAAATCACTGGAGCGGTCAGTGAGAAATACAGCGTTTATGTAGATTCAAACCATCATGCCGGCCGGGATAGAAGGCACTGACCGTTTGATCGACGCTGAAAAGCGCAACAAATTCGAGAGGGCTCGACTGGACCTCCGCTCAAAACTTTTAGAGAAAGAACGAACAGCTGTCGTGAAAGATGTTAATATGTGGATGAGGCGAGTTCGAGTTGAGTATCTGGCCGTCCCCCGCCACACTGGGCAGAGTTCTGAAGGCATCCCGACAGACCACAGCAGCGACAGACAGATCCGACAGTCGGAATATTTCCGCTTTGGTCCCAGAATGAGCAACAAACGGTTATCGAAATGGCGTAGAGATGAGGAAAAGCTACAGACGTTCTTGCGTGCGTCAGAGCGAATAGTGCAGGAAAATGAGCAGATAAAACACAAAGAGATCACCGTGGACAGTATCCTGGAAGACATCGAGAAAAAATCCATTCAAAGGGTGGAACAGGCCCAAGCGATGTCAGAGTCGGATGAAAATCGACCTATATTATCTCGCGTACGCGATAGACTTGACGTATTCGATGGTCTGAGGGACGATAACAAGGCAACTACCGCCAAAGGCAATGAGCCAAATGACTTCTCTTTGCCAGAATGGGAAAATGATGTTCTCAAAAATTATAAGACATTTGTTACCCGAAAAATAAACTACCAAAGAAAAGGTTCCAGCAAAGATCTCTTAGTGCGTCGCAACTTTTGAGTATGAGTCCAAAAAGTGGTCAAAACGGCCCTTTGCACAAGTCGTCTTCCGTAACTGATGTGTACAATTTACGAACTGCATCGGTGAAGTCAAATAATGGTGCAACGAAAGCCCCTCCTTCCACTGCTAGTCGGAAGCCTATATTACGGGCCTCAAAATCCTCGCCAGCATTATTACCGTCCCCTAGACACCAACACAGCGCCCCCTCATCCCCAAGACAAGCTATGGTCACTCGGGGAGCGACAGGGGGATCTGATGAAGACACTGTGATCGTGATGAGTGATAGAAAACACGATACCTCAAGTAACGTTACAGAATCTGATCAAGGCCCTTCAGTAACGGGGCCTTCCTCGTATGTACCGGCTTCTACTAGTCAAAAACCTCCAACCCCACCCACTAGAGGTAGAGCCCCCAAACCCCGGCCGGTTACAGCAAACATTGCAAGGCAACAGACAGCAAAATCTTCATCTCAGGATACCGATGTTCGACCAAAAAGTGCCGCGCAGTTGACGCGGAAAGTAACTTTTTCGTGTGATACAAATTTCTCAGACACTGACGCAGACGATCTGTCAGATGTTGAATCTGTGACAGTACCCGCAGCGCGTGAAATGACGACTGTTCATGAAGAAGACGAAGAGAAAGAAGAGGCGGTAAAACAAGGAGTAAAAATTGACAATTATGTGGAAAAATGGAAAGATGCGACGACAACAAAGAAACTCGTAAAAGTGAAAACAAAAGTGCCCAGTGTCCCCGCCCCAGTTTCGGGACTAGAAGATGAACCCCAGAACGAAGCAGTCGAGGCTTTAGTAGATAGAAAACGTTTTTTCAAACGCAGTAGCTCTTCGGTCATTTTAGTCTCCTCTGGCCGAAATGTTCGAGTAGGAAGTTACACGAAAGAATCGACCATTGAGAAGCAAACCTCAACGGACCCCGATGCTCAATCCCGCGGAGCGAAAGAAAAAATCGCACATAACGCTACGAAGGAATTCGCAAGAGCAAAATGGAACATGCTTCGTAAAAATGTTAAAAATGTGGACGTTGATGCTATTATAAAGCAAAACACGACCGACGGTCGTAAGAACGGCCCGCAAACTGACCACGAAGCAGACGACAGCAACAACAGCCCACACCGTGCCTCACAATGGCGGCGTAACTTGCAGGCAGAGGCCCCCACAATGGGTGGCGGACACGATATCCGAAAGGAAATTAGAAAAGCAACAGTCATGTCGAAATCCCAGAGGGCTAAAATGATGCAGGACATGATCAACCATAACCTCATGAGTAAAGTGAAATCATTTGTATCGGAGGAGGAGAAAACTAAATTACAGGACCGAGTGAATCGTTTTAATATGATGATGGGGCTCGCCACAACCGAAGGTGGCGAGGAAAAGAAAAACAGCAACACAGACAACAATGAAGATGAGACATGATTTTCCTTTAAAGTGGCGCCATAAAAATATAGATTAATTAATTTGCGCTGGTAACCGTCCAATATACACCCCTCACTCCGGTTGAAGGCTGTAGTACCTGTACCCGCTGTTACACTACGAAGTCTAAGGATGCCATTATTTGCAATATTAAAGATTAATTCATCTTTTGAGGTTAGCAGAATTGCTCGTCAAGTAACATTCTAAGACCACAAAGAAGCCCGTCTTGAAATTCTCTAGGGTCTAATCACTCACTGCTAAATGTAAAACTGTAATTAGTAACTGTGATAAAAACCTTCAATTTGTTCAAATTGGCAAAAAACTAACATTTTGCTGATGGTATTCATCCCGAGGGACCTCAACTAACCACTTCAAACGTCTTTAAGGTGACGTATCCTCAGAATTACTTGTTGAAAACCGTCGTAAAATTCCGTTGAAAGAGCAATTCGATACAACACACAGCTTTTGTTCCTTTTCAAATATTAAATATTTTCATAGTGATACAATATAACGCTTATCTTATTTATACTGTAGTTATTTCTTTGTTTGTGTGTTTGTTGTTTTGGAAATGGACTAACAATATCCCGTTTGTTCTGTTTTCTAGTTGACTGCTCGATAGCTTTTGACTTGAATATCTGCGCCAGTAGCGGTGGAAAATGGGGGAAACGCGAGTGCCAGAAGTTTGCGGACGTCCCTTACAGTTTTTGCCCCATCACGTGCAAGCTTTGTCCAAGTAAGTATTATCCATGGTCGCTCAGTTGTAAATGAAATATTGGAAACTTGGCAAAATAAATGATCTCATAGAAAAACGATAGCCTAGGTTGGTTTTATGTGATCAGCAGAGCGAGAGCACCAAAGCGCATTATGTAAAACAAGTGTGCTTTTTAGACAGAAGATATGTGTAATCATTTCAATTATGGGTGGCTACGAGGCAAAACAAAAGATCCACAATGCCTTCAGGGAACAGGCTCTGTGGTTGATAGCACATCGTGTACAGGAAAAAAAATCTTGAATAACCTTTACATTTATCAGAATTCTTGGGGATAACAAATTATTTTAAGACCAGGCTCTCTCAGCAATGTCTGATCATCATTTTAGGTAGACGATCAATAAGATTAAAAGACAAAAGAATATACAGCAAGTAATATATGGTTCAAAATTATTTAACCTACTGCTGCTCTTAAACATTACCATCTTGACATATTGACTTAAAAAATGGGAAGATGAAAAGACAGACGATGTTTTATTCTTTGAACAAAGGTTGTGAAGAAGAAAACGCTGCACGAAGTGGCATCTGCCCCCTCCCCACCCCACCCCCCACCCCTCCCCCAATCTCCCATCCCCAAGCCTTTTTTCAGCCAACACCAATTTAACGCAGTGAAAATGAAGCTTACCTCACTACATTTCTTTACCATTACAGTGTATGGCGACGTGTACTACGGTGACCCTGACGCTACCAACAAAGTAACCGACTACGATTACAGTAATTACGATAATTATGACTACAATTACGAAGAGGAGCAGGAGGTCACGAACAGTGCAGAGACCAAGAGAAAAGACGACTATTTTGACAACGAGCTGCCTTTTGATTACGATGATTCGTCAGACAACGATTATAAATTATTAGGCCAGGATCATTTTGAACCACAGGAGACTACTACTACTACGACGACGACAACAACTCGCCCTACTACCACAACGACTACGCCGACGACAACAACAACAACACCAACGACAACGACAACAACACCAACTACAACTACAACAACACCCAGAACAACAACAACCACGACGCGGAAAACCACCACCACAACTGTAGCGCCGAAACTGCCACCTTCAAAAGAGAGGATACTACAGTTTTCTAGGCCAGGTGATTACATATATGGTTTTGTTTTAAACGGTTAATTTCTTTCTGTTTATTAGTTATGTGATTATTAATTAATTAATTGCATATTAAAGAAAAATTTCAATATTCAGAATGATAAAGTTTTCCATTTCGCCGAATTACATTGTTATTATATGAAAGCCCCCACTTACTTTTCTGTGTATAAGCATACATGTAATATATATATTTTTTCAAATTTCAATTTTAATTCTGGTTTTCATTTCTAGATCTCCCTAGCTGCCTGATAGTGGATCCAGCTATGTGTGGCCAGCCCGGGTATAGTTTCTGGCCCAAAGACTACTGTGTCTATCCATCCATCAGGTCAACGTGTCCAGCTATGTGCAAAACCTGCGCAGGTAATTACGACGATCACGCCATTACGTCACCTCACTCTGACTACGTCATTTTGTCATCTTATTACGTCATCTCATTACGTCATATCATTTCAATGTCTTAACATCATGACACATGCAGAGCTTTGTTCTAAAATGGTTGCCGCTTGGTAATAAAGGGAGTTATAGTGAAGGTCAGGAAACGCTACCGGAAATAAACTTTTTTTATGAAACGTTTACCTAAAGAAAAATGAAAAAGAAAACGGCATGGTATAATTGTATGCCCGCTTTAATGGTTTCAATACGGGTGGAGAAGTACGGCCAGCATCACATATATTTTACAATTGAGATTTAAAACGAGATTCTCCCAGTAATGATGCTTACACAGTAGTTAAAGTACAAGGTGATAACGACCACTATAGGATGCCCCTTAATCGAACCGAAAGGAATATAGCTTATAAATCTTCTACGCGTTCACATAAAACTCCTCTTCTTTTGACCGCAGCATACATGTGGGACATTTGATTACTTTCATGAATGAGGCGATCACGTTGAATACGAGTTTCCCATCAGAAAATGACACTCGGGGAGTTAGCAACAACATTTCCTCGAAAATGAGTTGTCCTCTTAATCGATTTTCTTTACAAAGTCATTACCCTTGTAGGAATCCAAATCGTCTAGAGCAGTGATTGCGTTTTTATCTTCTCCGCCCTCGCGTCTCGAGTTCCAAGAAGTCGATTACTTTCCTATCGTCCTGTTGCTTGTATTAATCTCAATTAACTGATATATATGAATAGATATATGACTGATGACTTTCCTGTAACGCTTACATATGGATAAGGATGGTTTGTTTGCTTTGCTGGTAGAATATATGTACTAATATATGTACTAAATATGATTTATTGCAAACACCGTGCTGTAAAAATATTACAAGACTGGCAGTCATAACATATATTTTGTTACAAATCATTCGTTGCAGAAAGTCATAACAGCTGACAATATCAAATAATAATGCATGTTTAGTTTACAATGATATTTTGATGGCCGTCATTGGTTTATGATGATCAGTGATGAACTGTTAATTAATTCCTGTATTGTCTGAACTTTTGTAGCCCGCCAGTGCCAGGATTACCACGGTAAACGCTACCAGGTGGGCGAGTCGTGGGCCAATGTCCATGGGCAGTTCACATGTACATACACCGGCGTCACCGTAGAAAAAGGTAAATAGAGACAGACCATCGATTCGATAAAAAATATTTATTTTATAGTATGGAGGTAAATAAAAAATAAAAACACTGCGATTACCTTTGAAATGTGAATGAAATTAATGAAGACGCTTAGTTGATTTAATATTCATTCAGTTCTTTTATTGTTTTTTCTTACCTCAATTCTAGGCTGTTACAACAGAGAAAAACAGCGGTTTATTCCTAAAGGCGGCCAGTACCAAGACGACGATGAACTGTGCACGTGTAGCTGGCACTCCTATCTCAGATGTAAGACCATCACTTAATCCCCAGCACGTGCCCCGTGCCTAGTCACCAGTTGTGTTCTCTGAATGTCACGCATGTCGGAGACTTTAACAAATACGCGTTCAAGAGGCGTATGGTTTACAACAACAGCAAAAAAAGCTTCACGAACTGAAAACAAGACATAAGTTGAAAGCTGCAAACGTACACGTAAGATTTGGCACTTGACAATGAGGTCCGTAAAGGACCGGGTTTTCGACATGAAGTGGGCATTCGTCTAGAAATGTGTGCAGTAAATTAAGACTGATGCCTCCTTATAAGTTAACAAACAGAAGACAACGCTGGTCACCCTAAATCACGTTCAGCGACGCCCGCGCAGAAATAAAATGGAAAATTGAAAATACGGCACATACGAAGTGCGCCATTGGAAAATAGTGTTTATTTATAATGATCTAGTCAGAATTTCGAGAACAAACTAGTAGAGAGGTCTCGTCCTGGTCACAGTAAACTACAGGGCATTTAGTTGAACTTGATTTGGGGCAGCGGCGCGTTTACTAGCGTCCACGTTTTAAGTGCAATCATTCTGTTGTGATACTCAGCGCAGTCTTCATTTTAATGAACAGAGAATCTCACTTCTTAATTCACGGAGGAATACGAGATTTCTCAGACTGATGAATATCCAGAGTTCCAATGAAGGCTCGTGCGTGGAATAGACATCAGCATTAAGTTCATACCTCTAGCTGATGTATTGTGCCACTGCCTAATACATCTCTCAATTCATCAAAGGATAAATCCGTTCCGCGCTAGCGTGTCCTTCCTCAGTGACATTACGTGTGCTAAATACTGCTTAACGTAAGGAAACTTACTAGAAATAATCAGAAATGATATCTCTTGTGGATTCCGACTTGACTGATTGGATTCTTAACAAATAACTAATTCTCGACCAAATTTACATTAGTGTCTCTGCGATATATCGCCGGCGGATTACTATACTCTGTTATGTTTCAGAAGCTTGTTAACTTTTTCAGAGTGTTTTTAAAATCTCCCCATGGGTCTAATCTAAATGTAATGAAATAGTCTCAATCCCCCCTAAGGTGTAAATAATTTGCAAATACACGTACCTTACGAACTTTAAATGTGTACATATTAATTAAGTTATAATGAGACAGAGACGTGAACATTGTGTTGTTACTGTGTATTCGTCAGTATGATCAATTATTGGCTGATCGAAACTGTGCACAGTTCACTTCTGGCAGACAAAATGAATATGACGTTTCTGAGCTCTGCCGAGATTATATTCTTTTGAAAAGATTTTGTAGATAATAAAGAGGCAGACAACAAATTAGACTTCATAAATCAGCTCTAATAGAAAGGAAAGACAGACAATTGGGTCATAGTCAATTCAGATCAGAACAGTCTAGTGAACATGAAGGTTTCCTCCCTACTTGGGTTTCATCTTTCCTGAATTGTTTTCTTCATAGCATCGCTAGACACTGCTCTTGCTCAGAGCCCCCAAAATAACTTCCTAATCATTCTTCCAATAGAAGATTATTTGTTTTAAGTTATACTTTGTGTACATATTTTTTTCCGTTTTATTTCTATATTGTGAATATTAGGGTGTACATATTAGATTAGGAGCTGTATTTTTGCCTTACGTATTGTACGACGTGCAATTTGTTGTTTACTTTGTGGTTATATATAACATTGTATTTATTTATTACATTCTGATTGGTTGTATTTGTTTGAAGTCAAATAGGTCCACAATTAAGTGTTTATCATTACCAGGGATTGGACCCCACCATACCTGTACAGGTGAATGTTGTTGTCGGAGTATTAACTGTTTTAATGAAAATCTTACTCAAAATCGTAATTGTTGTTCCGACGTTCTTCGGCATAGAATTAGAAATAAAAGTTTTGGAAATTATACCCATGCTTGTTTGTATTTTTTACCTCTTTCAAACAAATCTGTATGAGAATGCATGCGCCCCAAGTACAGGAAGACATAATGGTCTTAATGCTTACCCAGATTAATTGAATTAATTAATTGAATTGATTAGAAATGACATTAAGTGTCAAATCCAAGTGCTGGGACAACAAGCATTGATTACAGGGATGCTTGTTTTTCTCTCAAGAAAAAAATCTAGATATTGTGTTGAAAAGCGTCTATTCTCTGACTGAGGACAAGTTCAAGTAAGAGCTGCTGTAAACGCTACTATACTGAAATCGACAATTGTTAAGGAGTTTGCAGTCAGTAGTTTTATGATTTCTGTGATAACTTACTAAAAAACCTCCCGTAACTCACAATCACAATCTGCAATGTGTTAGTTGCGACTGACCGATGAGATTTCATGAAAACCCATCAACGTATAATGGAATGGCCGGTGTAACAAATACATGTTACAGACATGCTACACAAACTCCTGGACAAAGGGCGCAGCAATCATATCATCGTTGACCCATACACAACAACTTTGTGTCCACTTTCCACTTGCTGTAAGGCGGTTGCTATGGTTACTCTCTCTTTGGTTACTCTCTCTTTGGTTCATTAAGACGAGGAGGAAGGGGTGCAGTAACACTATATATCGCAACTACCACATTTGTACTATATATGTACATTATTATATAGTTAACTAACTTCCGATATTTTGTTTGACGCTGACGAATATAAGACGATGGAGGGCACGATCCTTTTGTAGATTCAAAAAGATTCAAAAACACGCTTTTAGGAGCGCAGTTTGGTAAATTAAACGTGTTTCAGTTTGCCATCTGCCCTCCCATTCTATTTTGTGGTCCACCAAGAAATATCACCATGTATATACTACCTCATTCTGGATCTACATGTATCTCTTTGATTCAGAATAAGAAGAAAAGCCACACACCCCTCCTTCTTACACAGATTAACACTCTGACTCCACAACTGTTGGTTTATCTATAGATTAAAGCACAAGGCAGAACTAGAAAAGTTTCCTGATACTGTTACCCACCGTAATTTTAAGAAATTACTGGAAAAACAACCTCTATTACTATTGAAAATGCCTCAGTCAGCGGTGGAAATATAGGGGCCTAATAGAATCTAGTCAGTCGAGGGCACTCAGAATTATGTTTCCTGATTTATCTTATGCTGATGCCCTGTTAAAAACAAACCGTGTCACTTTAGAAAAGCGGTGTATAGAACTTACAAATCTTTCTCTGAGAAAATTAAGAACGAAAAGGACAAATTAAATTTCCTCTTAACCTCCAGATTATATAGGACGCTAAGACGTCACCAATAAAGCTTCAATCTAAAAATCCAACATCGAACCTTTTCATACTTTTTTTTAAATCTAACGACATGTTTGGCTTATATTTCGAACTCAGTTTGATATAAGTGTGAATCCTCTATTTTATGTAAATATTTTGTTATATAATGTTTTCGAACTCTTTCATCGGTACATCTTCAACTTTTTGGTTGCAATGCTTCAAATTAATTTTTTCTTCTACCTCTGCATCTTTTTCTTCTCGTTATCATTATTAAAGGAAAATACGAGAGTGGCTTCAGCCCAGGAATACCCTGAGCGTCCGGCTGCTGTGATCTTGTGATGTATGCTACTTAAATGCAACAATCAATCACAACTAACACATCGTGTTTACTGTTAAATGTAGAAAGTTGAGTCCGCGTTCCAAGTGTTGATGACCTCATTTATCATCATAACACTTCAACGAGGGTTTAATCAGACGGCTTTGATTGCGCGTCCCATAATATTTGCCACTGTAATTACATCTAGCTGTGATTTAATACTTAAGCCATGTGATTTTTTAAGTTTAGATATTTTCATTAATGTTGACACTAAATAGGCCTGTTTCTGTTTTTCCTCTTTTTCAAAAACACACGCACACACGTGCTCGCGCGTACACCCACACACACACACACACACGCACGGACGCAAACACACACATGCACGAACGGCCTACCAAAAGTATATTTATCTTAAGTAAAAATGAAACTTTTTCTCATATAGATCAAAGCTCAGTTTATGACCTCGTCCGGACTCATTGAAAGGTCGGCCACGTTTGCATTAGAAGGTTACGTCTCCTCACACCTGCCGCGAAGTTGTGTTGCCATGGCGAGCGCGAGGGCCCTCGTGACGGGTTGAAGGAGGCTGCCATTACCCTAATTGAAGCTTGAAAGATGGCAACAACTTGTTCTTCAGAGCGGCAGAAACTGTAATTAGGGTGCACCAGGTCGTGGAGATCTGGAGAAAAAATCTACTTATAATACCAACGAGTTTAGCCGTCACTTGAAAGACCCTCAGAAGATCGGGATTTACTTAAAAGCTTTTGGCTGAAAATATTCTCATTTGAGAAAGAGAAAAACAATTTTGGAGGAATTCAGAAGATTCCTGGCCGTTCTATCAGTTATTGCTGTGTATCTCGGTGGTATCTCAGTTCTAGGGTTTTACCTCAGCAGTAGTGTGGACTACAATCTCCGGGTGCCAAGCGTGCATGGCGTTCTCGTGTTTCCGTGATATTCTAATCAAGTTGTGGATAAACAGACTGCTAATATGAAAACAACCACATTAACTTGTGTATTCAGGTTGTCACTGCAGATACTGTGTCTACTTGTTCAGTGAGGATAGAAAGCGTAATAGCTCGTCATAATCCAAGAATGGCGGGGGGCGAGGAGAACGGTCGACTCACCTCTGGGGGACGAGACATGAATATTCTGGTCCTGGGAATGGACGGAGTCGGGAAAACAGGTAATTTTGGTGTTCTCTTAACTGGGCGAATTTTAGAAGTTAACATCTGTATTGCGTTGATGTTTTATGGATTAAGGTCGGTTTAAAAGAATAGAAGTCTATTGAAACTGACCGACTGACCACATGTTTTGAATGCAAGTACCTTCCAGGTAGCTGAAAACGATGAGATATCACACCATGGATTTGTCTAAATTTGTTATCAGCTTGTCTGAGGGAATGTAGCTGTCTGATAGCATATCGTAGGCAAACACGGTCTTGTTAAGTGGATACATACCAGGAGAAAAATCGCGATCATACAAAGTATTTTTATAAACTTTTTTAGACACAGTACAACATTTGGAGCCCAGATCTTGTTTTCACCCTCAGGCGTGAGAGAGAGCGGGAACAATTATTCTCTTGTGTTTTCACACCAGCACAGTGTGAATGGCTGTTTGAATCGTGCTCAGTTAATAAAAACTAAAATGTGGATCTTTTTTCGCTTTTTTTGCGATCATTAATATCTGTAAAACGAGGATAAATGAACGTATTTGCTTTCTTAAGAGATGCACAGCGGGTTGGAGAATTCATTTGAGTTATGTCCATAATGTTTTGGCGGTTTTAACTGTTTCACATGTTTTGGTAATGTGGAATGCAGTTGGAGTTTCGCATACATCTGTACTTAGAGGTAAACTTGATGTATGATCCTAGAGGCTCGTCTCTGTGAACCTTTTGCCGTTAAAGTGCAGAAAAACCAAAAAGAAGATATTACTACGGTCATTTAATAATATATCACTATATCAAAGCATATAAAGGCACTGATGAGCACCGTTTTAACTTTAAACCCACTCCAAAGAAAATAAATAGTTTGGTACGCTTACGTATGTTATACGCAGGTGTGATGGAATTATGTGTAATCGCTCCAAGATTTTGATATGTTTAAAAGTCAACAAAAATGTTGTATACCCACGTGTTGACAGAGTGAGTTATCTACGGCATCTCTGCTCAATCTGAGAGTTTGAAATTATTTCAGAGAATTATCCCATTTTGTAAAAACAACATCGCACTTGTTTCCACAGTGCAACCTTCCCACCTCATCTGTGTCCGGAGCATATAGAAGGCACGTGAAGGCACTTGGCTGGCTGTTTTGACACTGGAATACAATGGAACGCGCACTGAGCCCTCCACAGGTGAATGTTTTTGAACACACTGGATCCGTTAAGATATTTTTGTAAAAGAGAATAAATATAATAAACTGTTTTATTTTACACTGTTTCGGATGGCCCACACATGCACAGCGCGGAAAACGGTGTAAGTTCAGTTGTCTGTACAGGTGCCAGCTTTGGAAAACGCTCTTGAAAAACTGTTTGTTACACATTTATGTCAAATAAAAAGATAAAGACGAGATATAAACCTAAACAGGTGCAGTGGATTATGTGTGAGGATGGGAATGATATCAAGGGCAAAAACAGCCATATTTTGAAGAATTTAGCGACGGCCATTAATCGGAAACGTAGGTGGAAACCCAAAGGAGAACAATATGGCGAGAAGACCCAAGAATAAAATTCAGGTGTTTACATTCTACCCTCCTCAAGACGGTTGCATTGTGCAGCACTTGGTGATTTAATGATTTGTTTGTTTCGTTTTTCATACACAAAAACTTATACCCTTTAAAGTGTTAGTATTTTTGCCCTGTTCCAAAAGTAACTTTTGTCCGGAGATTTGTCTAATTTTAAGAAAAAACTTAGCATCTGTTAAAAAAAATAATATGTGTAGTATATCTTTTAAAAAGTATTGCTCTGAATAATTTGTCACGTCTTTTTTCTTTATTGTTATAAAACGGGCAAAATAATTAATTTCATTGGGCTTCTACTTTCGTGTATTAGATCAGAGTAGACTAGTTTTAGTCTAAAAGTTTACACAAAAATTTAGACTTAAGTTATTAGTAAATCATGTTGTGCTTGGTCATATACAATCTGTACTTCAGTGTATATAACAGCCAAGGCCAACCAGCAATAACAGCAGCTGTCTATCGAGGATTTATTAGCATTTATCGGTACATGAAAAGGGCGCTGATTCGATCCCCAGCTTTCCTCACGAACCGATCTAAACAGATGTTAGACGTTATATCGAGCTTTCACATTCCGTTGGTATCGTGCTCTCTTAGCACTCCTCGAAACATTCACCATCTTATGTCACGCCACCTGACCTCGAGTAAGGATTTTCCTATTACGTGGATTGAAACCTCAACTAGAATGATTTCTTTGAAGCATACCGCATGGTAGCTTTTTCTCTCTTTCTTTGGGGCACTGCGGATGCAAATCATGGCTTGTATAATGTTCAACCCTGTGTTTTTCCAACAGAAGCCAACGCCATCAAAAGCAGGCGTGGTTCTATCTGACTTGTTTGCCAGCCTAAGGTAGCTCACAGGTTAAAAATAAAATGTTATCTTATATTTTGTTTTTCAGTCTGTTTCTTCCAACGTTGGCCTACAATACACGCATGCCGTATGTTCGTAAGCATACATGTTTCTACCCTTTTAAACGGTATACTGACTAGTCATTTCTAATTTTGTTAAGATCTATAACTGCGTCATTCATTCCATGCATGTCTCTGACTGATGAGCAGAAAATGCACATCAAAAATATTTTCACCGCCAGGTGTTTCGACCACCAGCTGGCCACTTTCAGAATTATAAACTAATAAATATTTTTAACATCAGATCCCCCAGAACGACTAATTTCCCAAGTTGTTTTATTTTTAAATGAGAAGAGTTCCCAATGAATTCCAAAAGGAAATAGCTCTTGTCAGCAAAGCAGGTCTTGAGATGTATCTCCCATTTTATGGCAGTGAAGGTCAATTTCTGCCCAGTACATTTTAGGCCTGCAGAGAGCATTAGGGGCTGCACACACTTGGGTTTACACGTGTTTTCACCGCGGCAAAGATGCTGTGATCGTGAGGCTCTTATATTCAGTGTAGGTTTTGGAATGTTCTCCAAGCCTTAATAACGTACCTGCAATACGTGTCATTTAATTTTTCATCGGATTTCGAAATAACTAAACAGGCTGTCATTAAATGAAAAGTGGTAACACTCCTCTCTTTTTGATTTTTTATCGTTATTTGCGTACGCGTTAATTGGATCAAAAACTTCGGCAGTAAATTAAGTCGAAAGCTTTGCACTTAGTACTATCACAGCGGAACCCAGTGTTTCTAAACAAACAAAAAGGAGAAATAGCACTTCGTCTGGCATCAGAAAGTAATCCTTACAACACGGTCCAAATACCTGCCAAATATATCTTACTAACTGTGATCTGGCTGATTAGATCCTCTCTTATACGACTTAGCCGACTTGTTCGCCGATGTTTATCTCACTTTCAGCAGAGATAAATTGTTGGGTTGCGTTCCTTAGATTGCCAGTTTTTTAGACACCCGTAAGATCCATACTCCTCACAAGAGACAAACTCTTTGTTATTTACATCATTATCTTTATTAATGTTTCCTTATTTTTTGCAAAATTATCGCATAGTACAGAAAAGTGCTGAGAAAAAAACAGCGAAGATGAAAATCTACTGAAGATTTCATTTTTTGGCCCTGGTATAAGGTAAAAAATCGAAGCATATCTCGGTAAGACACAAAGCCACTGTATCCAACCTTAAGGGCCATTCCCACAGATATTTGGATCGTTCTATCTCCCTGGGGAGTCTCACTAAATTGCTATCAACCTTACCAGCTTAAATGTCTGTCATGCATAGTAAAGCTGTTAGGGGGTAAATATCTTTACCCTAGCTGATTCGGTAGGTGTGACAGACATTTAAGCTGATTTTGATTAATACTTCAGGATGTGTCACAAACGGGCTAAGGGAGAAATGATTAGGTATTTTAATGATACACGTCACAGACGTTATGTTCAGGCTGTGCTCTGAGCCCTGCTGCTCGGAGAGTGCTTTTATAATATTGGAAAGGTTTCCGTTTGATAAATCTCGCGGAATGAAATGCAAATCTATAACTTTATTATATTTTCATCCAAAAACGAATCAATTACCATTGCCTACCCTGGGTCCTAGTTGTAAAGAATGGCATAATGAACCACTTAACCGTTTCCTACATGACCAGCAGCCTTAAAACCAGCTAAAGGGGTATCCAGAAAAACAAGAAATGCATGGGACTGAAACGAGACTCGGGGTAACCGTTGAAACGCAGGGTGACGTGGCTCTGATGAGCTTCCTTCCTAACACGGTGTCCAATTCCCGTGGTGAAAGCAATTGAAAGCAAATGTGAAAGACGAAAAACATGAGTTATATCCATCGGTGTGATCTGCTCGGAAACACTGGGGGAGCAAAGTAGTATTATCAGACTGGAACGCTGTCAGAGCACTTACTGGTGCATCCAGACCAGCTGATAAACCTGGCTTGGTTTCAGTCTTAATGACGTCACCTGATAACCGTGATTATCTGGCCACTGGATAAAGTATAAACCCCAGCAGAAGACCGAGCGCTCTTGTCCTATCGCTACCTACTCTTCAACTCTCGTTAAGACGAGTTAATTCAGAGGAGAGAAGAGCAGGATGGGGTCAGATGCTATCTCCCACTAAGCATAGGCTGTTAAACCACGTGTAAATTAATTAGACATTTGTTGATGTCATAAAAACCAGAACCAGGCAAGGTTTCCAGATATCCACGTCTAGAAGCATCCTTTCCAGGCGAAGCTTTTAGCTGACTGTAATTACCCGGCAGGTTTCGCCAAACATTGCTACTACTTCGTGCTGCGAGGCGGCGGCATTTAACCCTCGGGTTAGTCTACAGTGGCTGCCTCGTGAAGGTGGCTTAGCACATCGCTAGTTCTAAAATTCAATATAGTTATGAAATAACACTGTGTTTTGAAATATAAGTGCTGCGAGTGAAGGCGGGGGTACATTATAAACTAAGTTCGTTGCGCTTGTATTTTTTAGAGGGGGTTCTTGTTCCAAAATGTAGGTTAATTACGTAAACAGTTGCTAACATTTGATAAGAAAAAAGTCTACCGTTTCATGGTAAATAAATGATCGAATGACAGAATTACAACATTTAAACAGACGTGATTGTGATCGCAGGTGAAGAAGGAAACAAGGATCTGTTTTATTCAAAATGATTTCTTGTCTGACATAAAAATTCTGATCAATTTTATGCTTATGTATTTCATTTTATGTATGACTTAAATAGAGAAAATTAAGACTTGACGTGAGATAAAATATTTTTCAGATTGACAACACACCGCTGTGAACAATTATCCTCCCCTTCAGCAGCAGGTCGACATTCTACCCCAATGTCATTAGACTTTAAAGATAAGAAAGTTTACGTTAAATGATCCAAATGCCCTAGCGTATAGCCTGTGTTTTGAGACGCGTTTAGCTGCCTGTTCATTCGAGACAAAATCCTTCTTTAGCTTATTAACCTTTTCAATTACTAGGGAAACTAGAGTTACCGAATCCTATATCATTTCTTAGCAGGAGAAGAGATGTTACCAGCAGCACAAACAACTCTGGGCAAAATATGTATCTAGCCGCCACCTGTTATCTTTCTCTGTGCCTATTCCGCTATAAGTAGACGCTACAGAGACAGGCCTGTGTTTTTCCCAATAGATGGACGCAGTTAGCATGTTTTCGCGCCTTGTTTATCGTTCGTTTTACGCCAAACATACCAACCATTGCCCAACATCTCGCTAATGTTAGTGTGTGTCAGATTGCAGTAGATATGGTCGTGAAAAGACTTGGATATGAAAGCAGACAACATGACATGTATGAGCACGGGCACCAGTTTAGTAATAGAACAACAGACGCCATTCGAAATGAGATTTAATGTCAGAAAAAGTTTAATGCTATAATTATTACGCATTAAGAAAAAAGAAATATATTTCAAGCCGTTATATGAACAGTTTTCATAAAGATACGCTTAGCGTACAGAAGGCAAAAGTCATAGTAATGGTCACTTGCCCAACGTACATCTAGAAGAAATGAGATACATCTATTAGATGTTTTGAACCGCTTCCAAACCACTCAAGTGCCGTTCTGACCTGTTATAGCAGGATGTCGACTGAAGCTGAAAACAATTTGCCTGTTAGCTGTCATTCCCGTTGATCAAGACATCTGAAGCAGTTCGACCTTTAATTAGACAACATTAATCTTTTTTATCGCCTGCTGCACTGCTTATTAGTTTTAAGATAACAAATAAGACTTATAATCTCATCGCAAAGCCGCACACGTGATATCGATATAACAAGACGTATATTATATTCACATTCTGGAACCCGTGTCAAAAACACAATTTAAGAGTTTACTTAACTTAGACGTTTTCGTGAAGTCAGCTATTTGATATTGATCTAACGTCGTGTGAACGATAAGCCCACCATGAATGTCTTTGATAGAATAAATCGGCTATTGTCACGACTAATAGTAAATATCATCGAAGATAACCACAATCTGTTCTTAAGGCTTTAGTTTAAAACAGAAAGACGACGAGTTATGATAATAATTATCTATTTAGAAAATTACAACCCATATAAAGGCTTTGGCCTGTGTTGAAATACCTCATTCGTTCACTTGATAAATACTGTGGCACATTTTCTCCATATTTTCAAAACCGAGTTTTAGGTTATGAAAATGATCCACGTGTTCTATAAATGCACCACATAGGGTATGTACCTGGAAACGTTTGTTATCGCAATTTGGTATCACACGGTCACTGTACAGGTGCTGGTTTACATTAGATATCTCACCTGTCACAGTCAGCGAGCATGTCGGCGTCTTCACGGATTTTAAAGATTTGAGGGTCCGTCAAACATAGAGCGTTGTCTCCATTAGATTCCAACAGGTCAGGATTTGCGTGACGTAAGCGTGTCAAAATCTAAACCTGATTTATTTCATTAGGTGCACGAATATCTCTATGATGTAATATACAAAATATACAAACTTCTGGATATGAAAACATTTAAATTTTAATCACATATGCTAGCTAGAAACCTCGTTATCGTTTCCGTCTATTCAAAAGTAAATCAATTTACACCCATAATAACTTTTCATTCTGTCAGATATGTAGAATACCTCTTCTCTCTATCTTAATTTACGCCAGTTATATCGAGCGCATTGAGTCTTAACGTGGGCACGGAGAGCATTTGTACTAATCTGAACACATCATGTAAACTGATCCCACATTTGTCTCTTTCTAAGAGCCATAATCATCAAACCATGACCTATAAGGCTCTTCCAAAATCTCATCAACTAATGTTGATGTACCAACAAGCGGGCGGACAGTTTATCACCTTTCCTACAGTTATTCAGATAAAAAACTTCCTGCGCTTGTCATGATTGATCAGATTTCGTTTGATTCACTTAGCATATAACCAGATTTTATTCCTCTTTTTCTCAGCTCTGATAGTTCGTTACATTACGAAGAGATATATTGGGGACTACGACCCGTACTCGGAAGCAATGTACACCTCTAACTCCGTGATTGACGGCAAACCAGTAACCTTGCGGGTGATAGACACAGTCGGTTTGGTAAGGGCTAACACGAGTAATTGATATGGTCGGTTTGGTAAGGGCTAACACGAGTAATTGATATGGTCGGTTTGGTAAGGGTAAATTATATGTCAATTATTAGGGTACGTTTATAACTTCTGTGTAATAAGTTTGTTTATTGTTTTACTGTCTGTGAAAGGTTAAGGTCTACTTGTAGATTATACCTTAAGCATGTCTTACTAGACACAACATGTGTAAAATGATTATTGAAAAGTAATGGTGAGATAAATTATTCATTTTCAAATATTTCTACATGACTATTTACATATATTAGTATTATTTTTACTGGATTTGCTCATAAGTTATTAAACTACAGGTCGTTACCTGATCCCTGTGTCTATATACATTTACAAACCAATAAATAAGTTATCTCCGTTGCAGGAGAAGAACAGCAAAAGGTCAGAGCAGATAACGTGGGCCGATGGGTTCGTGCTGGTTTTCTCCCTCACCTGCAGGAAAAGTTTTGAAGCGGTGAAAAGAATCAAAGAACACATCAATGAACTTAGGCAAGACACAAAGATACCCATGATACTTGTCGGAAATAAAGCGGATTTGTCCCACGCCCGCGCGGTCAAACCGGTAGAAACCCGAGGCCTTGCCACGGACTTGCAGTGCCAGATGTTTGAAACGTCTGCCAGTGATAACTACGGCAGTGTTGTGAACGCCTTTCACGCCCTCTATCGGGAGGTGCGGACAGTACTGAAGCAAAGAGAAAAAGTGAAAAAGGTGATGCAGAAGCCCGGTATTTCTAAGAAACTCCAAATTGCAAACGCTTTGAGGAACTTACGAGAGTTTCGAATCAGGACCTATACTGTTTGACGAGTATTTGATTTGTTTTTTTTTTTTTATTTGAATGACTTTAGAGTATCTAGATTTTCTTATGTTGAGTATGGTAAGGAAATCTTTGACATAAGGCACACTTTCAAAGCGGGTTGAAAACTGAGCAGGCCAGGCGGGTTCGAGGTCTAGGCTTCAAACGACTTAACCAGCTTTTAAGATGACTTTTACCTACATGATATACATGTATTAGAGGCGAGTGTTCACTTTTGTAAAACAAGTCCACTGGATCTAAATGGTACCGTTTTAGAGGATACTAGTAGCATCAGGAATCATAATATTGGTATTTAATTTATTTACATGTATTCGTTAGTTGAAAGGCAACATATTTGGTCTAAACGCATACATGTGGTCTATGGCATACATGTAGATGTTATCCATAGCAGAATCGAACTTCTAAGTACTTGATTCTATATTAAATTTCAAAGCCTAAATTCTTATATGCCCTATTAGCACAAGAACAGGAAAACGTCCTTCAGCAGAAAGTCATCCTCTTAAAGAAACGTCAAAACACGTCGGTTTTATTTTAGTCTTGACGGCATGACTAAATGAGTGCTGAATCTTAAAGTAAGATTTCACAGTCCACAGTTAACGGATTTTGTTTCTTGTACAATTTCAGCATCGCTTCTGGGAGGAGCCCGTGGTTGGCATCAAATACATGTATATTAGAGAGACAATGGCTGCACTTTTGACTATTATGGAATGCTGATTGTTTCTATATATATTTTTTATAATTTTGAAATATAATTATATTTGTAATATTTTCATTTATGTATTTACATAAATATTCAAATAAATATCCGTAGATTGGTGCTTTAAATTAAGTTGCGCTTGAGAAAATTGTATAATGTGAAAACAATCAGTAGTACTGTGTAATTTTATTCTATATGCTTAGTTAGAAATCAGTATTAAAGATCATGTTTGAAAGGTACATGTACACTGTAATTTCTCAGTGTGACTCCTTATTGACTTAACTGCAAAACTTATGTGATGTCTTGTTATGGTATCACAGGCAAATACAAATAGAGAGGTAAATTTGTATACATTCATATACCTATATTTTAAAATTCTTTTTTATTTTTATTTATGATTTATTTACATTTTTCGGCATAATAAGGGGGGAGTACTAGCAAGTAATTTTTACGCTATGTCGTCGCAAGTATAGATATAATTATCACCATCTTTGATAACTTCTGGTCTACTTATTTATCCGTTATTTTGTTAAATGAACGGTTGCTATAGTAACCTGTGTACATGTACTTTTCCAGTACTAGATATATGTGCGAAAGGTTAACGAACCTTGCAGTTGGGCAATTTAAAACAGGGCGGCAAATTTATCACCTTGAGAGAGTTGTCTTCTATACACGAGAGAAGATGACAGGCCTGTCTAAGGGACACCATGATAACTCTCCACGTGCATCTCACGCACGCACATGCACACACGCACACACACACACACGCACCTCAATCTCCAACAACAACTGCAGATTGATTTCAATTAATCTTTAATTGAGGGTGTTCAAACACAATTGAGGTCTTCCGACCAGCACTTCCTCGACTTTGTTAAATAACTATAGACTAACATCTGTCATTTTGTTTTAGGACAAGCGGTGGAAGGTGAGGTTCTGTCTTAAAAGTTGGCCTAGATACGCCCAGTGTCGCTTACAGTGTTTTTTCTTGAATCTTTTATCCAGAAAATGTCAGTCAGTACACTGCAGACCACACCACAAACGTCTTGAAATATTATACTTTCAAATAAGTTTGGATATGATAATTACAGCGTGCATTTTTTTTGTAAAGGGAAACGAATACCATATTGACCGAGAAAGAGATATATATACATATCATGTTAATTTTCATTTTATACGTTTACTTTATAAACATGACAATAAACGAATAATGATAAGCATTGTTATTATTATTATTATTATTATTATTTCTTACAGTGTATCTCACAGATATCAAAATGGCAGGGAAGACCATTACTGAACTGCTCGCAAGATGATTAGAATCATTACCCTTATCTTACTTTTTCGTAACATTGTGTGAAAGTCACAAAAGCCAATATTCTTAATAATCGCCGCAAACTATTACATGTACCACGCTTTAAAGCTACATTTAAATTCATGTTTTGTCACAAAGCCTTGCCAAATCTTACCACAGTTTAAAATAGTGTAACTCAGAAAAAGTAACAAAGGGTATCCTGAAAAATGTCGTAAGAACGGATTTTCTGCTTTAATTTCAAGCCACCAACAACCCTCAACTGTCTTACTACCACATATGGGAGTAAGAGTGACGATTGTGCAATGCTGCACAGTGTCACGTACTTCAACCGACCTTAATGAACTGGAGGGCCAAAAAAGACGCTGTTTTAAAGATTTTTTTTGGCTGAATGAGAGATAAACTTGTGGTTAATATGCCTAACTGGGAATCCACGTTCGCCTTATTTGTTTCTTTAATACAAACGACGAACGTGAAGCAACATTAGCAATATACGTCAAACTCCAGTAACACTCCACCAGAGACCGGCAAATTCTCGCTGGACAGTACAGAAATGTGTACAAAATTTGCTAGCTAGAGAAATATCTGTGAATATCTCGTGAAATAACCCTCTCTGTGGGCCTGTGTTTTCCAGTGTCCGGCATTTCACGGCTTTACGTTTCTCCATTTACAGAATAAGTCTGTTAATAAGGCAGTTCCATGCGACTCTTAGACGGGACTCTTAGACTTAGCCTTTGATTGTGAAATATAAGTACATCTTGCACTTTGGGAAACAGTCCAAGTATGCATATCAAAATTTTGTCAAGTTACCTTTGAACGATTTCAATATAAATAATCCAAAGTACATCGCGTTATAAGAGAATCTATAAACGTTTAACGATGCACGTCCCCCTTGTTTTCCTCGGATGGAATGATTTGCTGTCAAAGTAAAGGATATTAAAAATGACACGCGACATATTTATTCTAAATTTAATAGCCTCTTTGAAATTTAGATTTGAACGCTTTGTAATGCTTTACCTGAAACCGCGACAACAGGGGTGAAGGATGGCGTAAATAAACAGAACGTGAATCGATTTAACCTTTTCTCTTTAATCTTATCAAGTTCAAGGACTTAAAGCAGGCGTCCCTTCTTGGTGTTTCTACATGTATTTATCTGTAACTCCACACAACAAATCTATGTAGATGTAATATTCATTAAAATAAATGTCTTCTGCATGATGATTTCAAATATTTTGCAAAACAAATATCTTGCAATGACAATGTTTACTTGAGTTTCAGTTATTCCACAATCTTTATAATTACATTATGAAAACAAGACGTTAATTTTGAGGGTTATTTCACCAGGAGATGAATAAAGAAGCATGTTCCGCCACATTTATCATTTGACATACAGGTGAATAAACCACATTTGTCCCATCATTTTTTTTTCTTTTTGAAAAACGATAGTTAAATAGAAGCAGTTTCGGTGAACCAATCTGAATACAAATATGTAATGGAACAGGTGTCAAACAAAATGTCACCCTCTTGTAAAGAGTCGAGGAAGCATTCTCCGTGTAAATATTTTCATGTTAAGTCGAACAATGTGTTAATGATTATTAAAATGCATAAACCGATACTGGAAGACACGTTTGAAACATGGGGCGATTCTTTACACAGACGTTGTATATTTTATAAGAAATCCTAAAAAAGTACCCAATATTACCACCATGGTTTAATTACGTGCATATGCGTTAACACTGGTAACCATGGTCCTCAGATTAAGTTATTAATAAATATTGCATGAGCATGATTTGCAATTCAAAAACACACATCGTTCCTGGGTCAAACAAGTCAGGAGAACCCGTATAAAACTCAGTGCAATGATACTCATATCTTAATTACTGGCTTAGGTTCACCTTTGGACGTCCAGCAGTGATTAAACTAGGTTTGTTATAGCCGAAAAACTGCTACCGGCCAACTTGAAATCCAAATTGGATCTCCAAAATACTTTGTGGAACAGACATATCTTAACATAATACGATGACTGCAGCCAATGTCTGCCTTACGTGATTGAAACATCATTTATCGGGACACCGTCTGTACAGAAATACTTATGTTAATGATATTTATTTCCATTCCAGCAGCATGGCAGGCCCCCAGGTTCTGATCTTTGCGGCTTTATTGGGCTGTGTCTTGGCAGTGCCACCTATCGACCCACCGTATGGACCGGCCCCGGCTCCTTCAGTGTATTCTTACCGGTGGTCCGTGAACCCGCCAGCATCGGCTTACAATAATCTGAATCCAGGTATGTCTGCTGTGTGTAATGAAGTCTTAGAAAACCGGTAGTATTAGCAATATCTTCAAACATGTTCATGAAACAGGATTTCTAAATTTTTAAAGCTGCATTCGTTGTTGTATAGCGTACGATGTCATGATTTGTAATGATAGATTGGTCAGTTATATATACATATTCATGTTCACCTTAAAGCATTATATGCAATAGAAGCTCAAAAAAAGGGTAGAAGCAGCAATATATGGCCTTAAAATGTGTTGATAAAACTGGATTTATCTTTTTTATATTTGCAGTACAACAATTAATTGTTTATTGTGTTATTCGATGTCATGATTTAAATAAAAATTGTAATTTTTTATTGTGTATAGAGTCAACATTTTCACCTTATAAACAAAGGCAAGATTATAATCTTATTGTCAAAGAAATACACCTAAATGTATCAAAAATGTTTGACATAGATCATTCAACGTTTTGTGACAGTTGCTGAATATCAGTTTAATTCTTTTTCAATATCTTATAATTGCAGCTGAGGCAGAAGGTAAGATTTGGGGATTTATTTATCTTATCAAAACATTCCTAAGTACCGGTAGAGGGCTGAATAACAAATGTTTCTTTCAGTGCCAAGACAAGCCAAATTGAATAATATCTTACGGTTTTGACAATTTGAAAAAGCATTCAACGTGGAAATTACAGCATAGGATTTCAATTGTCGCATTGGGATGTCATCAGCGAATGCATTTATCTTAATACTTAATAATTCTGTACAAAATAGTGAGAAATATAGCGCGTTTTTTAATATTGTTTTCTAAATATTCAGTGTCTTGATCTTCCATAGCAATCTGTAAGGAGTGCAAGCCCCTTGGCAGTGGCCTTGGCGGCTTCTTTGCTGTCCATACTGATCCAGTCCACTACATTCGCTGTGTTCCGCAGGGTGACACTTGGCAGGTGCTCGTATTACACTGCTGTAATAACACCAATCATGGCGGCAGCAGCACGGTGTGGGACCAGGAGCTTTTGACGTGTGTTCATAACAATATTATTCCCAATTCGTACGATTGTGGTAAGTAAATGTGTACCAATATATATCATGTAGAAAAAAGTACAGAATGAGGCCACAATGTGCCTCAAAGTTAATGGATTTTTATTCATTCTTTTCTTTTTTCAAATAATGAATGTGTTCTTCATACCGGTATTTGTATCTATTTTTTATTACACAGGAGGAATAAAATTTACACTGTAATTTCGTATTGCTAAACTATTGAAATTTGAAAAGAGTTCACATACGGGTGAGACTCTAGTGGAACTTCCATGCATTCCATATTTCTTTCGATTTTATTTTTCAGATGGGTTTAAAGACGTCGACCCACCTGTTCCGCCGCAGTATGTTCGTAAGTTCAACCACACGTAATATGGTAGTAATAAAGCCTAATTCTATATTTCATTCTTTATTAATTTGCTTCTTCGACTTCATTGACCTTGGTTGGAGTGGGATGTTTTAAGGACGTTTTATGCGTCCAAGGTATTGCAACTGTTTTCTGTATGAATAACTCAGCTGTTATTTAGAACTGCTTTAATTTATAAGCGTAAATTACATCCTCCTAGCATACACAGACCGTTATTATATCGTTACCATAACATGTATTTAAACGTAAAACCTTATGGTAACGTTATGGTATCTTTATAAAAGTTCTGTGTTTGCTAGGCTGAGTGTTACTTGCACTTTCATTCAGGATTCTGGCCGCTGCAGTGGACCCCCAAACTGGACAGTCTGGTAGAGGACAGAGACTACGGTAAACCAGGGGGTGTTGCTGCCCGCGTGTACACGGGAGTTTATGACCACGGCCACGTGACGAAGGGCAGCCTCTTCGTGCGAGCCACTCAGGAGACCGTCCCAACGATCGAATTCGATGGCCAAAAAGTCGGTGACACTTACGCTCATATTGAGGTTCCGTTCTTCGAGAACGCGGACTGGAGTCAGTACAGCCCCGGGTTCAGTTTCACTTTCGGTTTCTGCGTTGATGCCAATACGCCGCTTGACGCTGCATTAATAACCAACGCCGACTGTAACTTTACAGCGTCTGTTGAGATCTCACTCCAGCCGAACCCGAACCCAATAATAGGGCAGACTCCATATCTTCTGCAGGCACTGATACGTAGCCAAGGAAATAGTCCAGATACCATATCCACCGTTCTGCCCCTTTTCCAGGTAAGTGTACGACAACATACTTCCTTGGGGCGGCCAAGAAAAATAAAAATTTATTCAACCAGTAAAATAAGGCTGGCTCTAGTAAAAGCTATGGGTTATAGGCAATCAGTCAGAGCAATGCGTTGGGGACGACTATACAAGAGGTACCATGTACTTATATGCTAATGAGGCACTGCGTGCGGAGGATACTCTTGGTACCATAAGATTCCCAAGTTCCATAAATACGTGCACTTTTCAACCTGCTCTAACACCCCATTTCCATAGATTAGATCGACCTAACTCCCTGGGGGTTCACGCTAAATAGCTGTCAGCCGGGTGGACACGAAAGTTAATTACCCCCTTACAGCTTGTAGTAGGCGGGACGGACATTTAAGTCGGATTATCTGAAAGTAATCTAGTGAGACTCCCCGCGGGGATAGATCGATCTAAAATATATGGGAATAGAGCCTTAAGGNTTGCATGTGAACGAAGCCTAAGATTATGTCCACATAACATATGAGGATGGGCCTCAAATTTCCACTCGTTCTTACCGGTACGTCCCATCCGGGCGGAACAAATAAAACTGACCTTAGGGAAGACAGAAACCGCATAGCATCCAGCGACACAAAATGATATCTATATTGTTAAAGTTTTAAACATTTCCTTTGTTGAAGGCCCCTCTCTGTTACTTCGCTGGCTTCTCCTACACCCAGGCCGGGAACAAGATGTTGTTGTGGATGAATGGCAACGTGGTCACAGGGACGGCCCAAGGTAATGTTCAGTGAGAGTATGGAAAGTACGGCACCTTCACCTGGGCGCAACTGAAGAGGGCGCCACTGAGGGCTTTTTATCATAATTTATTGATTTAAATATTTGCGAGTTTGGCTTATATTTTTCAGCTGTTGTTATGGTTTTAACCAATTTCAAAATTGTCTAATAATGGATGTCAGGTGATTAAACGGTGCAATTTTAGTGCTAGGCAGAGACCATTTTGTGAAATTTTTCAAAAGAGTTTTCCGTTCAATTGTTTTAATTTTTGTAAACATATTTCCTAATCATCATTTTTTTCAACTTTTTTGTAGGGCCACCAAGGCGTATCAACCAAAATCCATTGTTTATCGGGTACAGTTGCTATGGTTACCCAGACCAACAGCCGCCGCGTGCTCTTCATGGATCCATGTCGTCTGTAAGTTTCACCCCTCTTCGTTATATTTGATATTGTCTCTTTAAACACACTACCAAGTTTAATTATTTTATGTGGAATACCGTTGTATGTCTATGTATGGCCACCTTCAGTAAATATTTTTATGAATTTATAGCCCACTGAAACATTTGTTCTTTATTTCAGGTAAAGATTTGGGGAGACAAAGCACTGGATGCCGCGCAGATTAATCAAGAATGCGTGGATGCCAAGTTCTGTAATATATAATTGTCATAAACTGACATCATGAGTTAGATATTGAAAGGACGAGGTCATTTTATCTCTGAGATTGATCGATTTTATATCTACCTCTTAAAGGACATCTGTCGTACATTTAATTCTAGATTTATCTTGACTCTGAAAGGAGTATGTCAGGAATAAAAGAAAGTTTGAATTTCCACTGTGTTAGTTGTGCCGTCAATTGTGTTAGTTGTGCCAAGGATACATTGTATCCACATAAATGTGTTGCGTTCTCTTGTTATGGTTAAAATGAATTTTTTATGTTTGGCAAAATTATTCAATATTTCAATATCTGCTCTGCGCTACAAATAAAAAAATTAAGAAAAGCATGTTTCGGAAATATCAATTAAATCATTAGAAAAGCAACATTAAGAACAAGCAGAGAAGCAATTATAGTCTAAATGATCGACTTTAGTTTCTCACACTCATTTTGAAATTGACTCTCTCTCTCTCTCTCTCTCTCTCTCTCTCTCCAATCTTTTCCAAATCTGTAATCCTCAAGCACTCAGTCTCAAAAGTTTGAAAATCTCTTTCATGACGTACCTATTTTGCTCCCCTATCGGGCGAAGATTTTTGTCAAAACTGCCAGATGCTTGAAAAACGTCATTTCCTATAAAAGGAATGTGACACAGGAAATGTCATCTTTTGTAATTTAAATGGTCAGTTTTACTAAGACGTCTAATTGAATTTTTTCCAGTGTTTTCTGAAAAACGGGAAGAAGTGCATTACTCTTTCATAACAGAAAAAAATTCCGTTCAAAATACCCAGTATGTTTTTTCACGTTTCAAGTCTATGAAAATCAGATTTATAAGTAATAGTGCAATATACATTATTTTAAGAGCTTCAATCGAGGGCATTGGATTAAACTCACAAGTGAGCCGAAAAAGACTTCAGCCTTCAATTGACCTTTCATAAAACAAACAAAATCTACCTAGACGGTGTAAATTTCGTAGATGTAATGTTTCAGTAGGGTCTCTTTTTCTATACCTTTATTATATTGCTGGAAAGTTGACATAGCATTAACATAAGAAAAACTAACTTTTTACGAAAAATAAGTTCGTAATGTTCTATCCATCTGAGCGTATACAGACACTGTAATATATATATTTACTGTTATGAAGCACGATAATAGATTATTCAAAATAGCAGCTACCCTGTAAATATCAGAGTTATTTCCATTTCAGTATTTCAGTGTCACTCACGACACTTATTCAGATTTCCTTTGGCAATTTATGATTTTAAATTTGGTCTCATTTGAGGATTCTTGAAATGCAACCTTTGCTTCATAGGAGGTGGAAAAAATGTTCAGTTAGTAGTTTGGACAGATAATGACACGCAAGTGTAGTAGACCAAGGCCACTGGTCGTAGATTCCTGACTATTTACGGTAACGCATGGACCAATGACGGTGAGCATTCATCTTGTACAGGTAATGACGCGCATGCGTTACCAGAAATAGACGTGTAAATCGCGTATGCGCAACATAACCTGTACAAGATGAATGCTCACCGTCATTAGTCCATGCTGTCATCTTCCGGGATTGGAGTCACAAAAGATTAAAGTTATAAACGTGTTATCTATATATATATTTAAGGCGTTGGTTGGTTTACATCACTGAAGTATGAAAAATGTTTTTCAGTTGCAAATTTATACTTAATATATGCAAAAATTATAGATAACTACCAGATGTTTGAAAAACGTCATTTCCTATAAAAGGAATATAACACAGGAAACTATCATATTTTGTAATTTTAGTGGACTGTTTTACAAAGACGTCTGATTGAATTTTTCCCAGTTTTTTTCTGTAAAACGGGAAGAAGTGCATTACTCTTTCATAATAATATATGTTATCTTCAAAATATGTTATTTCATGTTTAAAGTCTATGAACATTAGATTTAAAAAATTAGTTATTG